TACAATATTTTTTGAAATTTAAATTATTATTATTATTAATATTATTATTGTCATTGTTATTACCATTACCATTATTAATACCACCATTATTACTGCTATTATTACTATCATTATCACTACCATTATTACCATTATTATTACCCCGATTATTATTATCACCACTATTATCATTACTACCAACATTATTATTACTATTATTATTATCACCATTATTATCATTATTAATAATATTATTATTATAATTACACGTAGAAGAAACATTCGAAGAAAATTTATCATTAAAACAAATACACAAACTCAGATCATCAGTAATCAATTCATCATTCAATTTAATAGCAAAAAATGTCGGTATTTTTTTAACACCCATACAAAATTCCAATAAATTCCAAGTTTTTTTTATCATTGCTTTTAACTTTATTAAACAAAAAATAATAATGCATGTGTTCCGAAACCTTACATAACTTTGAAAATAAATTCTTATATTTAATATATTTCAAACGGTCAAAAGATGATTTTGATTTTAAAAAGTTTTTATATAAAATATTTTTAGTCTTTAATGAAGTAATTAAACCATTGGTAATCCAAGGTTGCTTTCTTTTTTGTTTCAAAGGTAATGATGTGTAACAGTATTGCAAAATAGCATTTTTTAAAACACTGGTAAAAATGAAAATGCTTTATCGGTATCAAAACAATTATATAACGGATTCCAGTCAAAACTTGTAAGGTATATATTTAATTTACAAATATTATTCGAGCAAAAATTAAAGGTTGGAATAAAAGTATTTGAAGATATTAGAGAGGTAGAAATTTTAGATGCAGTAAAGATCGGAAAATGATCGGATAAAGAAGAACAGATTACACCAGATTTGTGGGGAGATAAATTGTTAGTAAAAATATAATCAATTAAGGAAGAAGTAGTGGTAGTCACACGAGTAGGAATATTAATTAATGGATACAAATTAAAGGAGTTCATTAGATAAATTAATTCATTACTGGCATTATTGCTAATTGCATTGATATTGAAGTCTCCTAGGATATAGACATATTTGCTTGATTTAGAAATTTTTAAAAGTAAACATGTAAAATCATTTAGAAATAAGTTTAGGTCAGTATTAGGGGGACGATAAATAACATAAATTAAGTAATTATGACATTCGATATTTAACAATTCAACAATTAACAATTCAAAAGTACGTGAAAAATAGACAAGGTCATCACGAACAACATATTTTAAAAAGTTTGATATAAATATACCAACACCGCCACCAGTAGAGGAGACACGATTTTTTGATAAAAAGTTATAACCTGGTAAATTAATTAATTTATCGTTGGTGTTACTAAGCCAAGTTTCTGAGACACAGATTAAAGAAAAGCAATTATTGCACTCTTGAAGGAGGGC